CCTGATTTACTTTTTATTAGTTGGTAAATTTCGTCTATATTAACGTGCTTGTTAATTGCATTTTCGTTTGAGTACCAGGCTTCTAGGAATTCCCTGACTGCACTTTTAGTGTTTCCTCTGTCTAAGACTTTGACATTATCCCAATCAAATTGATGACCATAATTGTCTATATGCATTGATACTAAAGATTACATATCGTGTCTTTTCACGGCTAATTTGTGTTCTTGGATTCTGATTCGAAGGGGACGCCCAATTTGGCCGGTGTAATGCTTGTTGCAGTTCATACAATTTATTTTGTAAATGGTATTAATTTTATCCCCTTTTCCTGTTGGATCTTTTGGTTTGCATAATATCGAATTAAGCGATTTGACTGGCTTGTGTGCTATATCTATGTCAAACGGTTTCAGTATTCTAGCTGTTATTTTAGAGATATTTCTCATGTATGGTAAAATGAATTTTCTTGTGGTCTTTGAAGATGGTTTCTTTTTGGTGTTTTGATTCGACTTTAAACACTTTTTGATGAAATTTTGTGGATAACCATTCTTTTTGAAGACCGTTTGTAGGTACTTTTCTTCCATTCTTTTCAATTCTGGAGTGCTACAATGTGTCTGGACTCTTTTAAACAATGTCTGCACACAGTTTCGTTTGTGAGTAATTGGATTATTGCTAGTATAGTTAAGTATTTGATTTGTGTGCGTTGATTTTCTATATACTTGTGTTTCTAAACCTCCTGTGTTGGTTCTCCTGATTAGGACATCTAAAAATGGGATTTTGTTATCTAATTCTTCTTCTCTTGTGAATTTGATGTCTTCAAATGTGCAATTAACAAGCACGTTAATATAGACGAAATTTACCAACTAATAAAAGGTAAATCAGGTGACCAGAAAGTTTAAAATCCAAGTCAATAGAAAATGGTCAATACATATGTAAAGATAGTTACCAGGAGACGCAATTCTGTCACCGCTCATGAAGAAATTTAAATCATTTCACTTTATGCTAAAAATTGCGCAGAAGGACGACGAAAGCTTCGCAACTAAACCAACCAGCTCAGAGAACACTTTTAATTAGAAACTAACTTTGTCAGTGTATTCACAAACCATTCGCCTCTACCACTCCAATTGATGAAGCTTTTGAAAAGCTCAATGATTGATTGATTATTTTCTTTCTCAAGAAATCCTACGGCTATAAATCTCAACATTATAAGGTATATAGAACTAAAAATAAAACTTTAACGAATAATAATACACTTAGGGCTAATAACTTCTGACTTGTATTATATATATATATAATGTGAAGTTAGTGCTACTATACGGATCACAGACTTGGCACGTCACGAAGGGCACTTCGAACAAACTTCAAACCTTCATCAACAGCTGTTTTCGCTCATTACTCAATATCAGATGGGCGGCCAGAAAAAATCAGCAACAGGGATCTGTAGGAGCGAGCGAACCAGGAATCGACTGTGCAACGAATATGCAGAAAGAAATGGAGATGGATTGGCCATACTCTAAGAAAACCATCAAGTGACATCACACGACAAGCCACTGCTCGATTGGAACCCAAATGGGAAGCAGTGAGTTGGTCGTCAGTTCGAGGGTGATATGGAGGGCGTCATGAGAAGAGGAAATGAAAGAATATGGGCAGACATGGGGCATGATGGAAACGTTGGTGGAGAACCGAATGCAATGGAGACGTGCAGCTGAAGCCCTATGTTCCTCTAGGAATTAAGGGAAATAATAATAACAAATATGTGTGACGAAAAGGATTTCCAATACGTTACAGAATTTTATCAACAACTACCCACTTCACTGGTTCCATACTGAAGACCGAATGGCCGGCTAGAAGGAATTAGCAACAAGAAACCCTAACCAGGAACAAACCAACCAAGAGCCGATTGGTCAACCAAATATGTAGTAGAAAATGGAGATGAATCGGGCATACGTTGAGGCAGCCGTCGAATGACATCGCGCGCCAGGCCATTTATGAGTGGAATCTCAATCGGAAGCTACGAGTGGGTCGTCGGTGCTAGGGTGACATGAAGAAGATGAGAGATTATGAGCAATCGTGGAGGTAGCCAGCTTAAGGGAACACCAGAAAATAGAACAAAGTAGAGATGTGTTGGTGAAGCTCTATTTTCCACTCGGAACCCAAGGGAATATTAAAATAAATAATATATATAAATATATATACATATATATATATATATATCGTAATCATAATAATCATAGCTTCATACCTATGCAATGTAAGCGCAACCTAATTCGTTGTCTTAGTCATAGAATTAGACGCATATGTACCAACGATTGTATTGAAGATGAAATAAGAAATCTTACAAACGCCTTGCTACAAAACGACTATCCTACCAACTTTGTAAAGAAGTATATCTATGAAACTACACATAAAACTAAGCGAGACACAGTAAGTAATAAAAAGCTTTACTTAAATTTACAATTCAAAGGCGATATATCCAGCGATATATTAAACCGTAGATTAACGAGAGCAGTTGTAAGAACTTTCAATGCCGCAAAACTGCATGTCACTTTCTCAACCAAACCGATATTGACACTGTGCATTAAAGATAGATTACCCAAAATGGCGACATCAATGTGTGTATATAAATTCACTGCTCCTGCTCCTGTGGAGCTAGTTATATAGGTCGTACCCAAAGGAATTTATCTTACGCACTCGTGAACATATTCCTGTTTGGCTTAGGAGAAGAGCAACCAAATCATTAAATAGTGCAATTTTGTCTCATCTAGTGGATAGCGAAGACTGCATCAAAGTAGATGAGTCATCTACAATTGTGTATCGAGTACGGAACAATCTCCCCAAAGGCACACGATTACGCTTCCTAGCCATAGCTGAGGCTATGGTGATTAATAGAGAGAGAGAGAGAGAGACAAGACTTATGTGTACAGAAGAAACTTATTCACTCTCTCTGTCTACCCTGGCCCACTATAAGGTCACCAGGATCATAATTTTTCGTATTATTATTATTTTGTGATATCATGTCTTTATTTTATATATGTCCAAACCAAGTTCACTTTTAATAGTTTGAAAAAATTTGGGCATTGGGTATATGATATTCATTATAATAAAGGTTTTTTGTATTTCCCAATGAATGAAAAACAAAATGATATTGTTTTTACTGACGTTTCGCTATTAAGTGCTCATAGCTTTATCAAAGTATTATTAAACCGGAATTTACAAAATCTCAGCATATAGATAACAAAGAGTTAAGGGGTGAGAAAATAGACTTAGGTCAAGTTATTATTATTATCTTTATTTTCCATTTCTCCACCCAGTTTACTTCACCCCACTGTTACCCTTTGTAATTTTATACTAAGCCTACCAATTCTGTAACACCTTATTACAATTTACAATTTAGCCTGTTAATTTTATCATTAGACATTATCCGTCAGCCCTCACATTCCGTGTCCCCTTTGTTAATGTGTATTTGTATGTATTTTGTGGTTATCGCATCTCTCTCACCCCAATGACACTTGTATTCTGTTGACTATAAAATAGCACTATATCATCCAATTGTTCATTCACACTTCATCACATTTTTTCTGACTATACACCCTATACAAATTTGATTGACTATGTTATTATTATTATTGTTTCCTTTAATTCCTAGAGGAACATAGGGCTTCAGCCATGCGTCTACATTGCGTTCGGTTCTCTGCTAGAGTCTTCACCTGGCTCCAAGTCTGCCCACACGTTTTCATCTCCTCTTCACATGACATCCTCCAAGTCACCCTTCCACTGACGACCAACTCGCCGCTTCCCATTCAGTCGGGTTCCACTCCAGGGCTTGTCTAGTGATGTCACTTGATGGTTTCCTCAGAGTATGACCAGCCAATCCATCTCCATTTCTTCCTGCTTATTTGTTTCACAATCGGTTCCTGGTTGGTTCGCTACCAGAGATCCCTGTTGCTGATCTTTTCTGGCCATCTGATCTTGAGCGAAGTATTGAGCGAAGACAGATGTTAATGAAGGTCTGTAGTTTGTTTGAGATGCTCTTTATGACGCGCTGGCCAAGTCTCTGATCCGTATAGTAGCACTGACTGACTTCACATTGGAGTTGAAAATCCGGATGTTATTTTTGATGCTGAGTAGTGCTGTTGACCTCCACACAGACTTGAGAGTAGTGAAAGCTTGTCTTGCTTTTCCGATTCTTGCTTTGATATCCTCATCAGTTCTGTCCGCCTGTAGTTGAAACGATGCTTCCCAGGTAGGCAGGTAAAAGAGGTTGTTTCTTTCAGGTTCCTCCCATTTATGCTGATCGTTGTCTGTTGTTGTTGCTGCTGTTGGTGGTGTTTCCGAGGAATCTTCATCACCTCTGTTTTCTCTATATTCACCTGAAGTCCTATCTTTGATGCTTCTTCTGCGAACTTGTTGCTTTTCACTAG